CAGAAACTAGGGAAAACGGGAACCCAAACCCCTGGCAAGGCAAAAGGAAAAGGCCGAATGGCCTAAGACTGCCGTATAGGGACTACTAGCGACAGATCTAGGGGTCAAGCCCATAGGTCTCAGAACTAACAAACAAAACATACAAGTTACAGGTCACGGGATCAAGTAGAGAGTTCAGTCACAAACAGATTTGACTCTGGCCAATCAGGCTGAGACATTACTAGGACAAAGCCCGGTGGTTAAAAGGAATTTGCAGCTCTATAGGTAAAATTCAGAACACTGTTCGCTACACGTGTGCGACCACAGAGAAACACTGAAAATCTGATTTCTACCTGAAAGGGCAAAACTTAGGACTGTGTAGGAGATTTGAGGTAAGATCGGGCAGATTTTGCTTATGAGGTCCATTGGGGCATTCGCCAGACCCCATAGGAGAGGGGGACCTTTGTCTCTGGAGCTGATTTGCGCCCTTCATGGCGCTTACCAGTTCCTGAGCCAAAGTCAGAAAAGACGGGTCTGGGAAGCCTCGTGCACCTTGACCAGCTGAGGGAATCAATCCTCTCTGCTCAAATCCTGCAGAGTCTTCCACAGACTCCATAGCGTGCCACCTCCCTTTGCTCTTCTTCTGACTGAGAAGGGGAATTCACAGCCATTTTTACCTATATTGCCCTTTTCAAACTCTGCACCCAATGTTGTTGCCCATACGTGTTTTTTTGCCGTTTCGAAATACGAAGTGTGTCACTCCTGGACTTGTTTCAAAAAAAAAAAACAGTGGCAGTACTATCTTTCAGTGGTCGAAAGGCCCGTTGCAGAGACCATTCGGCCTCCTAAAGACATTGACAGTGATTAAAGGTCCGACACAGATACCATTGAAGGAGTGTTTCTTCTTCCCCAAAGAACAGCTCAAGTACCCCGATGGAACATTGGAGTTCACATTTCAATTCGCGGAACAACTCCACCAGGCAGTCAGAAGCATGCAGGAGGCTTAACAAGAGAGGAGCGATGAATGGCGCCAATAAGCCTTGCTGCCCTTCTATGTCCAGAAAGAGAGCTTGTGTGGGTGAGCACAGATGAATCGGCAGGAGAAGAAGGTATCTCCAGAAAGCCGCTACCTCAGTGGCATTGTCCTTGGGCCGTACTACATGTCGCTGGCAAAGACCCAATCAAACCTTCGTATTTGGTTGATATTCCTCCTCACTTGAAGACCTACCCAGTCTTCCATGCATGAAAGTTTATGCTGTATACCCCATCCCATCCAACATTGACATGATTGTAGTGCTGTGGGCAACTCACGATCATCTTCAGTGAGAAGTTAAGAGACTGCACCTCAAACAGGTGTCCATTACAAGTGCCCATTGCAGAAAGGCTGGTAGCGGCAGGCAAATCATCCACTGTGAGGGTTCAGATTGGTTCGGATTTCTCAGGACAGGGCCAAATGTTCTGCGTTTAGAAAAAGAGGCTGGGAACAATCGGTGATTTGACTACAGTATGTACTTTTATCAGAATCGGACCTCCTCCATGCACACACGGATTCGAACCGGCCACCTCAGCCTCAAGAGCCAAGTTTCTTAACCACTACGGCCATGGCACAGTGTACAAAAGTGGATCCATGCCGGCCTTGATATCCACCTCACACCCACATGGCTGTAGTGTCCTTCAACTCACACCCACACACACACACAACACCACACTCAGGCATTCGCCCCACGGGCAGTTCTCGCCCCATGGCACGGTGTAAGAAAGTGGATCCATGCCGGTTGTAATATCCACCCCACCCCTGCATGGCTGTAGTGTCCTTCAACTCACACCCTCACCCACAAAACACCACACTCAGGCATTCGCCATACAGACTTCCAGAGAATTAGTGCGCTCATAAATTTGTACATACAGATACAGTAATATAAAGACCAACAACTGCACCCAAGAGCCTAGCTCAGTGGGTACACCCATGAACTGTTGAAACTTGAAATACAGACCCGAGTTTGAATCCAGATGATGGAACTTGGTGAGTAAAACCAAAATATTTCTGAATTGCCCGAGGCCAGTCAGCTGAATGATGATATCTCGAGACTGTGGTCCTTTTGAAAAAAAAGAGGGAAAAAAAAAGAAAAAGAGAGACCAAAAACTGCGCGACTTACGCACTTTACTCTTCTCTATCCCCTTCCCCGAACAGCCTGACCATCTCCCAGTGTGGACTAAAAGTCTAAACCCCCCTCAAAATTCAATATAAGCCGAAAGACTGGTATCGTCAGCAAAGTGACTCTGTCAGTGATCTGGAAGGAAAGATGCAGCATTACTTTGGACAAGACAAGGAATCCGAGAGAAAAGCTATGGGGTAACAAGTTACTAACAACCAAGGAGCTAATGGGGGCAGAAACCAGTGGAAGTGGACACAGGCAAAAATGTCCAGCCAACAACAGCCACAGAGAGAACAAGAAATCAAGAAAAGATTCAGTCGCAACTGGCTAGCACAAGGCAAAATCGCGACTATCACCGGCATACAAGTGTGATAGAGAGCCAGAGAGAGAACAAGAAATCAAGAAAAGATTCAGTCGCAACTGGCTAGCACACGGCAAAATCGCGACTATTACCGGCCTACAACTGCGATAGAGAGACTGGGACATTTGCAACGGGAGTACAGACAACTACAACAACAGAGGAACAGAGTCCCATATGGACTTAAGGACGTTTTACACTAATACTAAGGTCAGGGAAGGGATGTGGTGCCGGGAATCAAGCGGTCCAACACCTGTGAGGTATAGCTGATAATACAAGTCAGGAATGGAGAGATCCCCCAAGGATCAGTACTTCCTCTTTCTTTGGAAAGATCTTCAACAGCTGGTTAGGTAGGGTAGGAAAGGGAGGGATAACAGGGGTGAGGGGTGGTACATCCTTCCTAGCAATAGGAGGCAATCAATGCCGCTGCCTCAGGGTCTCTTCGCTACAACGACGGGAAGTGTGGTGTGGGTACATGCTGTAGCGGGTGCCGTACCCGGTTCCCAGCTTTGCAAAAAAAGGAAAAAAAGAAACCAACAACTATCTTGAAAAAAGAAAAACTCTCATTTTCTCTTCTGCAAATTCACAATTTGACTCTAACAGACTCTTTCTGAGCAAGTCAACATAACATTCTCTGAGGACTTTGAACCAAGGGGTAGGGCTGTTGGGGCAGACTGTTGGGGTTTAAGCTCCTGATGAGTCGAGCAAAATCATGGGTATCAAATTACTATCGAATTAGTATCAATGTTATTCGCCCTTGATTTTCCACTTCCTACCTCTCATTGTCTGTGTTTTTGTTCCTCTTTTTTCCCGACATCTTGTCTTCCTCTCTCTCTGTGCCTTTACCCCATTGTTCACAGTTGTTTTCCACTTGCCTTCTTTTGAGTTCTTTCCCTTTCCTTCTCTCATGGATCTAAATGGGGAAGAGGCAATGGGGGAATTAAGAAACAGAAAGAGGGGGGAGGGAACAGTATTTGGGCCCAACTCACGCACACAGCATTTTATTTACACATAACTGCAAGTCAGAACTATAAGGGGAGTCCACACTCAGACATACGCACGCAGTGCCACAAATGTGCAGGTGCACACACAGCTTAGGATGGCAATAAGGTCAAGCACACTCCTTTTCCACAAAACATGGTATCAACACCACGTAAGCAAACAGCCCGAAGGCTGAAACAGTTTGTTTTTCCTTTCTTTTTAGGTTTTCGTTCTTAAGCCGCCACTAAGGCAAACTCGTAACGCAAATATAACCTACACCTAGGCGGTTTTCCCGGGCGGCCAGGCACCCAAGTTGTGCCCCGAAACACGCCCGCGTGACCGGCCGGGCATGACCCCCACGCAGGGTCCCAGGCAGCCCCAGCGCAAAAAAAATAATTATAATAAAAATAAAAAATGAAAAAATCTGGAAAAAAAAATGTTGTGTAGAACTGCAATACGAACAACTTTTGGCTGAGGGTCACATCAGAATTCCTCACGGAACTGAAGATAAAAAAGAAAATAACCGAATCACACCAAGGCACCCCCCTTTAAACCCCTTTAGCCCCTTTAAAAATAGTTTATACCCCCCTTGCCCCCCTTTTAAAGCCAACACTCAAAAAAAGAAAAGAGCCCGGATTTGGGCTCCTCTCCAAGAGCACGGAAAAACCCCACAGCCAAAAAAAAAAATTCTTCTATTTTTTTCCCATGCCCGGGTATCCTGGGAGTCAGACGGCTCCAGGCATCATGCCCTGGTGACCGGCGGTCCATGAAAATCTTCCTAGACCTACACTGCATTCTTCCGAGGCCGGGTGCCACTGGACCAAAATGGCTGGTGGAATCATCCAAAACAAAAAGAAAAAGTCATGCTGGAGATTTTTCAAAGTCTGGCACACAGTTGTTTTTCGCTCCGGCAAAAACTGTCTGAGAGGTAGTGGTGGTTTTGAATCAGAGCTGAGGTCAAAAGCCATAAAAAGTTAAAAACAGCAAAAAAATGTTCTTTTTTGGGTGCTTTTTGGAAAAGGTACCAAAGAGCAAAATGATCACAATGAAAACATCACGGACAACGCTTCCTAGTCCCTCCCCTCCCCCCTCCTCTTCCCCTTCCCCCTCCCCCTCCCCCTCCCCCTCCCCTTCCCCCAATTGCTTTTTACTTTTCTTCTCCTTGATCTTCCCTCAGTTTTCCCTTCACTCTTGGCATGCTAATATTTGACTGGAACTGAACTTGGATCCCTTCTCTGACATAAATCAGATATCAAGTTGGCTGTCTTCATTTTCCAATTTATTCTTTCATGTTTCATCATCAAGCTTATCTGATCTTCCTTTCAACTATAATGCTGAAGGCACATCCTAGTCCCCGTCTCTGACACTTGCTGTCTATACTACTCGGTATCCACATTCACAGTCCAGTTTGCTACCAAGCCCTCATCAACAACAGAATATAAGTTCAGGTGAGCAAATCGTGCAACATGAAGGAAAATGACAGTTGTATGAGGCGTGCTCCGGGATTGGACAGTTGGAGCACTCACCGCATGGGTCCCCGACAGGTGGACATCTGTTGGCAGGCCTTCACTGAGCGCCGACTGGACGTGCCGATCAAATAATCCGAAGCATCGATTGAACACAGCGCCCTTTTCCTTTGCATTTTTCAGAGGTACTACGCCATTGTTAAGTGCTCTGCTTATGTGGGGCTCCAGTCCTGCTGCTCCTCTGAAAATCCCCGAAGGACCTTTCTCAGGCGTACAGGTGCCGTCAGCTTCATTCCCTGTTCTTGCCCCTGCTCCATCCCCTGCTCCACCTGCAGCCCTACAGGACTCGAGTTCCAAGGCACTAGACCTGGCTGTGCTCTCACCTGCACGGCGGGCAAGATTGCGCAGCCGAGAACGCGCCACATGATTCAAGTGCACAGCAAGAGATTGTCGAGACGAACCTCCTTGCTTCCCGAACTGCATCTTGTAAGGGGCCAATCCCACAGAACCAAGATGCCAACCACTTGGTCTGGATCTCAACCCCCTTAATCTCTCCTCAGTTGATCCAAGCCAGGAAGACCTGCATATACACGCATAAATCTGAACCATGCCGCACTACTTTACTCATTGAAGCGAATGGCACAGACTGTCAGATTACGCAGGGAGATAATGGTTCTGCCCCTCTTCTGCAGATATCCTATTCGCAAAACGTCTACTCACCATACATACACAAATGCAAAAGCTCGATATATACGTTATTCAGGGATTCGAGGCACCATTGTTGGTCGACAGGGTTTCAACAGTCACACAACCAATGACAAAGAAGCAAAAGCACTGACACAACTCCTACCTGTATCAGTAGGTATTATTCCTGAAGCAGAGCCAAATGATTGAATCAGACAGAAGTTTTCAAAGGTTCAATCTCTTCAGAACTGGAGGGCATTCTGAAGCCCGCATGCAGCGGACTCTTCTCCAGTCAGTCGTGAAAGTGCATGTCAGGAGTCTGACAATTCATCAGAAACTGGCACGGAGGTGGCAATGAACCTGGTCAGGCCTACACAAAAGGGAGGACCTGGTCATCTTCGCATTCATCTACTGGCAAAAGACTTGAAAAGAGGCACACAAAGTTGCTCTGCCAACCTGTCAGACTGACAGGACCCCAACCAACAGGAAGAAACTACACCATGGCAGGCCCTTTTTCAACCATGGAACCTTTTTTTCCCTATACCCTTTGATCAAAGAGCGGGGCTCGCATGGCGATCCCACACAAGACCGAAATGCTCTGGGAAAAGCCGGGGAGGGCAGGGGCTATTTTCATGTGTGGAGGCGCATTCGTTTTTTTTTTTTTTTTTTTTTAACCAGCCTATATTCTTCTCTCAATGTACCTCCCACTGCCTGCCTACTCACATCTTAGCAACTGCAACGCCCAGTCTCTTAGGATATTTATCTGAGAGCGTCTACGACAAACTCCTAAATCTCTCTACTCTACGCAGGGAGTAGCACCCAAACTCCTAACACCTGGCGCGAGCTGGAAAGCCATCGGTTCCCAACCAACCAGGGGGCCCAAGCCAGTCATCTCAACTGGAGAACCCGAAGCGCATCATCACAGGAGGCCGTGGGGATGGAACGGATGACGTGGGGAATCGACCCCACGACCTCCTGCAAACCACTTTCGTGCTCAAACCAACTGAGCTAAGCCCGCTTGGGCTCCAAAGCGCATTTGTTTTGTTTTTGTTTGTTTTCAGGATGCCTCGCATCGTTTTGCAGCCTCATCCATGGAAGTGCGTTCTTCTTATTTTTTGAAATTTTCATGATTTTTGTGATCCCTTGCATCGTGTTTTGCAGGCTCACGCGTGGAGGAGGATTCTTCTTTTTTTTTTGGGCCAGGTGGAGATTTGACAGATTTGTTTCATTTTGCCGTTTTCTGGCGCTGCTGGCGGGTTTATGTTTGTCGTTTTGGCTGGATGTCCATAGCAGGCCCGTTTCGATGGAAAGAAGACGCGTGACTGTTAGCAACAAAGTCAAGAGCGAGCTCACTCCAAAAGGAAAAACAAGATCGCAGAGTTGTTTTCTTACTTCTCCAGAGTTGTTTTCTTACTTCTCTTCGTATTCTCTTCGTAGGACTCGAGCTCAGGTCTGTCTACCACAGTTGATGGGTGTACCATTCAGCCACATGGGCTTCGCTTTTTTTTTTGTTCTTTTTTTTTAAATACAGCTGTCTTCTCCTCAGAGGGACGAGCTGTATTCGCTACCTTATGTTCGTCTCTCAAATCTTGTATTTACCTCATCCTAAGCTACCTAGCTACCCTTGTCTAGTAGTCCAACCAGAATCCGTACCTTAATCTAGCAAAGGGAAGCAAGCTATTCCACTACCTTCTTCCCCCGAATACAACGTACGGTCATTATAGCTGTATTTGGGCTGTCTTTCAGACTAAATACAGCTATAATGACCGTACGTTGTATTCGGGGGAAGAAGGTAGTCATGGGTTGTTCGTGCATCTAAGGAACCCGAATCTAAGACTAGGGTCCACAGCGAGGCTCTAGGGCTAGGGTCTAAGGCCACCTTAAATTTACCAACTGGAACTGAGCTATCCTAAGGTTTTGGGTCTATATCTACCTATCTCCGCTCCGTGCGGGGAGCAGTACCCGAGTTCCTAACACCTGACGTGGGCTGGAAGGGATCAGTCTCGCAACCAGCCAGGAGGCCCACGCCAACAATCTCCGCTGGTGAACCCGAAGCATCCTCCAGGAGGTCGCGGGGATCGAAAGGACAACGTTGGGTATCAAACCCACAGCCTCCTGAGTGCCATGCTCAACCAACTGAGCTAGCCCTCTCGGGCAGGCTTCACTTTTTTTGTTTGTTTGTTTTTTTGTTTTGGGCGGGCTTCGCTTTTCTTGTTTTTTGAGTTTTCTTTTTGTTTTTCCGGTCGTTTGTACCACCCAGTCCACGTAGCATCGTCCCCCCACCCCACACTGTACCGGCCAGCGCACAGTGTGCCATCCAGTCCACATACTATGACACACCCCACATAGTGCCACCCAACCCACATAGTATCCCCTGGGCCACATTGTACCAACCAGCCCACATAGCATGACCCACCCCACATAGCGTCACCCATCACCTAGGCCACATAATACCACCCTGCCCACATAGTACCACCCAGTCGACATAGTATGACCCGCCCCACACACTCTTGTCAAACCCACATCCCACATAGTATCGCCCAGTCCACATGATATGGCCCACCCCATGTGGTACGACCCGACCACCATAGCATCACCCACGCTACTGCTCAGCCCCCCCCAGTACCGCCTGGCCATGGCAAGGGCCAAGTTGTGCCTGACATTGGCCATGTCTTGTTTCTTTTTCCTTTTCTTGGCTGTTTTCTGTATTCACCTGGTCGTATATAACTAGCATGCATTCTTGCTCCCGAAACTTTTTCATAAAAGACTAACAGTTTTCTCGTTCTTCAAAAGCCCAAAGAAAAGGGGTTAATGCTCCTACATCCATAGCATGGGTGGTTAATGCAAGTAGATGATTTAAGATTCGGGTAATCTCACAAAATAACACTCGTATATATTGAGCTCATAATGGTACTTTACAATTACAAAGTTTTTCTACAGTCCTGTGCCATCATAGAAACATAATCTAATCGATCAAAATAAGGCAAAGCTTGTAGATAGGTTTTATATTCAATTAATTTTTCCGTACCTCTATGAAGTAAACCAATATGTGGTTCTGCACGTTCCACCACTTCTCCATTCATTTCCAAAACTAATCTTAAAACACCATGAGCAGCTGGGTGTTGAGGTCCGAAATTGAAAGTCATTTTTTTTATTTGTTTGGTTATATATATATATATATCGTCACAAACAGAACTGCCCCGTAAACCATAGGCAAAGAGAGAGAAGAAGATAACAAACGAGGGGCTGTGACAAACTGTTTCGTCGGAGTTTCACCGACTCATCAGGAGGCTGAACCCTCAACAGTCTGCAGA